AGATTTAACAACTTTAAAAAAATCAAAAACTACCACCCACCCCACTTACCCCCTGCCTCTCCGAGTGTGTCTCTGGACCTCCATGGGACCCCCATGGGACCTAGCTGCATTTTCCTACCACACAGAGGGAAATGGGCTTTTGATCTCAGATGACGGGCACAGAGATAGAGGGTCTCCCCAATATGGACACGGGCAAAAACAGTACCTCCACATCCTGCTTATGGAATGACTACATCAAAAATAAACTCACATGTTTTAAGCATGTAGGGCAATTAAATATGCTAAGGAAATTAGTCTTGGGACGGGCCATTAGAGAGATGTCATTCTCTGGCTGCTGTTGGATCTCCCGGGCACTGCTAGGGGGTGTCTGCTGCCTACAGAGCTGATTCCCGCTGGTGGCCTGCACCTGTGTGCAGAGCAGAATGGCTGTGACAACCTTTGGGAAGTAGGTCGCCAGGCTTGCCTTTTGGGAGACCTTTCAGGTAATGGTCAAGTACTTAACCTCTCACGCTCCCAAAGACTTCTGACCTCAGGCAGGGAGAGCAGAAAGAAGTCTAGCCAGGGGGCTAAGCCCTGCTCTGGTGTGAGCTGACTCCTGGCAATTCCCTACACAAGGAAACAAGGTGCTGCCCGCCGCCCCCAGCCTCACCATGTGCAGACAGATCAGAGCTGTGGTCCCGCTGTTGGAGCTCAGAAGTCGCTCTCCCCCACGGACATGGAAAAGGTCCCCTCTCTAGAGCCACTGTCCCAGTCTGTCAGCCCCACCCACTCCGAGCTTTCCCCAAAATCCAACACGCTGGCTTGTCAGAGGAAACCAGGCCCTAACAATAACGCCAGGTTTGTGGGTGCAATTGTACGGCGATAATATATAAAGATTACAGCGAAGTCATAGAGAATAGGAGAGGTAGGAGAGAAGATAAAGTAAAGGAGTCAGACACATTTCATGGTAGGACGCACACCTCAGCCCCTCTCGGTGGTCCACGTGGAGTGGGAGAAGACAGCAAGTCTTCACTGTTTGGGGGCTTTTATAAGTAGCCATAAGTCATGCATATTCAGCAGTTACATACGTCACAAGGTGGGTGTTAACCACAGTAAAGTCCCTGAGCTCACAGGTGAGAAAGCCTATTACATGCATTGGGAGAAGGCCTAAGGGGGCATGGATGCCAAGGTGGGAGGAGATATGTCTGCTTCTATTGGGAGATAGAATCACCCATGTGCTTACTTTAAGGCAG